TCCAATATCCTCCTGGGCTCCAACATCATTCCAGGCTCCAGCATCATCCCAGGCTCCAGCATGTTTCTGGGTCTCAGCATCATCCTGGGCTCCAGCATCATCCCAGGCTCCATCATCTCTCCAAGTTCCAGTATAATCCTGGGCTCCAGCATCATCCTGGGCTCCATTATCCCAGGATTCAGCACCATCCCGGGTTCCAGCAGCATCCCAGGTTCCAGTATCATCCCAGGGTCCAATGTCATCCTGGGCTCCAGCAACTTATCATCAACCCAGGCTCTAGCATCATTCCAGGCTCCAGCATCCTCCTGGGCTCCAGCATCTTCCCACTGAGCTCTAATATAATCCCACACTTCATCATCATCCCAGGCTCCAGCACTGTCCCAGGTTCCAGCACATTCCAAGCTCCAGCATCACCCTGGGCTCCAGCAATATCCCAACTTCCAGTGTCATCCTGGGCTCCACCACCACCCCAGGCTCAGCATCCTCCTGGGATCCAGCACATTCCAAGCTCCAGCATCCTTCTGGGATCCAGCAGTCTTCACGGGTTCCAATACAATCCTGGGCTCCAGCATATTCCCAAGCTCTGGAATCTTCCTCCTTCACCTCCTCTTTCCAATAACCATGAGAAGAATCCTCCAGTCCTTGCCAGGGGCTGCAGGATCCACCTTCCCTCGGCCCTGGCTGGATGTGGAAGTGGTGGCCCCTCTCCAGGACATCCCAGCAAAGCCAATCCCACCAGGGGCTGGGCTGGGAGAGGCTGGAATGTCAGCTCATGTCCCAATCCTAGAGTGGCCCAGCTCAAGCCTGGTTTACTTTTTCCCTCCATTGATCAGGAAAACCACAGGATGTTTCCACAGGAGCCGAGTCCAAGAGGGTCGAGTTGCTCTTCCCACAGCTCCCGGACATCCTTCTCTCCCAGGCTTCCTCCTCCATTCCTGCTGGGAAGCTCAAGGAGCACCGAGCTCCTCAGGAAATCAATGGTTAAGCCAAAATCCACATCCAAATCCCAGCCAATCCATCTGCTCAGGCAGGTCCCACAAGTCCTGATTTCCTAAATGAGCACAGGCAGGCCCAGATGTGCCGGGGAAAACGGGGATCCGAGTTACCAGGAGATGCTCCAGGGAGGATTTGGAGATGAGTTTTCCAGCTGGAGCAGCACAGCTGAGCCAGGTCCTCCCCAGGCAGCTGGATCCCAGTGAGGTTTGAGCAGCACAGCCTGGGAATTGCATCACCCTGTCCAACATCCACACCGGGATCAGGATCCAAGACCTCAAGGACAAGCCTCTGGCTCCAGCTGCTGGTTGGAAAAGCATCCCAGGGAGCCAAGGGAAGCAGGGCAATCCAGGCCCTGGAGGCAGAGGCAGGGTTGGGGTTGTTTCAAAGCAAACAGGGAGCACAGCAGGGGTTGCTCAGTCCTGCCACACCTCACACAGGGAAAAGGGTTTCCCAGCGGGAAGCAGATGGGCAGGAACATGTCCTCGGCACCTGCAGCACATCCCAAACCACAGGCATTCCTCTCCTCCCTCCTTCCTCCTCTGGAGCAGGGCCATGAGCCCAGAGTGTCTCCAGTGCTCCCCTGGGAGGGGCCCAAGGCTCAGGGATCCCATCCCGGGACCGGACGGGACACTCCAAGTTTGCATCCGAGTTCCTCGGTGAGGATGAAGGGAATGGCCACATCCCATCCCAGGACAGGGAGACACTGGCTGCTCCAGGGCCCCAGGGAATGATCCTGCAGTGGGAGGGGAAGCAAAGGGGGGAAGGATGTTCCTACAGTGCCAAGGTGCTTTCCCAGACAGGGATGGGGCGCCAGGAGAGACACAGAGGGAAGGTGAGGAGCTTTTCTGCTCCCTTTAGATCCCAGAATGGTTTGTGTTGGAAGGGACCTCAAAGACCATCCAGTTGCACCCCTTGCCACGGGCAGGGACACCTTCCACTAGACCAGGGTGCTCCAGCCTGGCCTTGGACACTTCCAGGGATCCAGGGGCAGCCACAGCTTCTCTGGCCAACCTGTGCCAGGGCCTCACTACCCTCACAGCCAAGAATTTCATCCCAATATCCCACCTATCCCTGCTCTCTCGCAGTCTAAAACCACACTTGGGAAAAAGCAATTCCAAAGGGAAAGGAAAGAGGCAGGAACACCCCGGGCAGCAGGAAAGGCTGGGTGAGTCCCCAGGGAGGGGACAGGAGACTCCCATTCCTCAGGGCTGGATACCGGCGGAACACCCAGGTCAGGATGCTGGATACAACCTCCACTTCCATCTGTGAAGGGCTGGAAAAGCCCAAGGTCAGCTCTGGCACCTTCCCTCCACATCCCAATCCCGGGGGAAGGGGCAGGAGCAGGAGGAGGAGGAGGAGGAGGATGCCAGGACAGGATCCCACCGCAGCCAGCACGACCAGGGGGAGCTGTTTGCAATCAGGGTCCCCACGACCCCCTCCCATCCCAGGCCTCTCCAAAATCGCTTCCATGTGTGCTGGGAGCTCGGGAGCCCTCGGGGAGTTGAGCCCTGAACAATGGGAGAGAGGAGGAGGAGGAGGGAGGGGTGGGGAGGAAGGTCCGGCCCACCCAGCGCCAGTGCCAGCCCGCCCACGACGGGGCCACCACCGCCATCCTCCTTTTTTACCCCCTGGATCCACCTCCCTGCTCCAGGAAGAGGGGAAGGAGGCACAGCGGCGTCCCCTGGGAATGTGGCATCCATCCATCCCACCTGCTGCACCAGGAGCAGCCCCCAGGGAAGGGATGAAGGAGCCTCGGGAAGGGGGGCGGGGGGGTCACCAAATTCCAACCCATCATTTCATGGACCTGGATGTCGCCTCCTCTCAGGCTCCTGGACGCACAGAGCGGGGCTGGCAGCGTTCCCAGAGCCACATTTATTTCCAGGATCTTTGCTGGAGGGCGGGAGGAGCCGGGGCGGGGATGGGACGGGCTAAATTGAGCCTAAAACCACGAATGTCAGCAGCGCAAAGGGCCGGGTTGGGGCTGTGCCTGTTTGTCCCCGTTGTTCCTCCCCGCGAAGCCTCCCGGCCACGACCACCCTCCCTCTCCCCTCCTTCCCCCTGCTCCAGGAACAGGAGCCTCCTTGTTTCGGGCTGGCTGGAGCTGGAGGCAGAGCAGATGCCAGGAAATACTCCGGGACCTGCTCTGGAGCCCCCCCAGTGATTCCCGAATCCCCCCAAAATCACATGGCTGCAATTCCACATCCCCCACCCCCGTCCAAAAGGATCATTTTGGGTGTTGGCAGGAGCATAAATAAACCTCCTGCTGCCACGTGTTGCCCATCCCAAGTGCCTTCCAGCTTAAATATAGATGGATCCGGGGCTGCCTGGCAGGGAGGGGACATTTCTCCAGGCTCACCACAGCACCCACACGGGCTAATTTAGCTCCTGGAGGAGCAGCCAGTACTGAATCCCCTGGGAAAAGGCACCATCCAGCACAAACCCCCTCTCCAAAGGCTCTTCCACCTGGAGCAAGGAGGTCTCACTTGGAGAGGTGCCGCCAGGGAAAGTCACCTCCCAGCAGGGAATCTGCTCCACCCCCAGCCAGAACAGCTCCTCAGAACCACCTGTACCAGTGCTGGGAAGGGGTTTGATGGATCCAGAAGGATCCAGAAGGAAAGCACAGCCTCCAGACCCCCCCCCGGATTCCGGGTGGGAGGCCCAGCTGCCAAGGGGCAGCTGCGGATCCGGCTGATCCCGGAGCCGGGAAAGGGGCCAAACCCAGGAGAGGGTGACCACAGGCAGCTCAGAAAGTGGATTTAGGGATGGTGGGGGTGGTAGGGGGGTGTGACAGCCAGCAGAGCAGTCCTGGGAAGAGATGTCCTGATGTGCTCTCCTCCCCAAAGGCTTCTCCACAGGCTTCCAAGGACTTCCTTCTTTGTGGTGACCAAGGATAGGACCCGTGGGAATGGCTGGAGCTGGGACAGGGCAGGTTTAGGTTGGATATCTGGAAAAGGTTCTTCCCCCAGAAGGAACTCCACATCCTCATGGGTCCTGAAAACTCCTCATCCTGTTCATGGATCCTGCAAACTCCACACTCTGCTCGTGGATCCTAAAAACTCCACACCCTACTCATGGATCCCAAAAACTTAATGTCCTGCTCATGGATCCTGAAAACTCCATGTCCTGTTCATGGATCCTAAAAATTCCACACTCTGCTCATGGATCCTGAAAACTTCATGTCCTGTTCATGGATCCTGCAAACTCCACACTCTGCTCATGGATCCTAAAAACTCCACACCCTGCTCATGGATCCTAAAAGCTCCTTGTCCTGCTCATGGATCCTGCAAACTCCACATCCTCATGGGTCCTACAAATTCCAGATCTTGCTCATGGATCCTGAAAACTCCTCATCCTGCTCATGGATCCTGCAAACTCCACACCATCTTCATGGATCCAGAAAACTCCGTGTCCTGTTCATGGATCCTCCAAACTCCTCATCCTGCTCATGGATTCTAAAAACTCCACATCCTACTCATGGATCCTGCAAACTCCACACCCTGCTCATGGATCCCAAAAACTCCTTGTCCTGTTCATGGATCCTAAAAACTCCGCATCCTCATGGGTCCTACAAATTCCATGTCTTGCTCATGGATCCTGCAAACTCCATGTCCTGCTCATGGATCCTGAAAACTCCACACCTTCCTCACAGATCCTGGAAACTGCTTGTCCTGCTCATGGATCCTGAAAGCTCCAAATCCTCCTCATGGATCCTGCAAACTCCACATGTCCATCCCAGTGCTCCCACAAAGCCCTGCAGGCAGAGGGAAGCTGGAGGGAGGGAGGGAGGGAGGGAGGGAGGAGGCTCCAGCCCTTACCTGTTCCTGCAGGCTCACGGCTCGTCTGCTGCGGCCCCCCAGGAGCCACTGTGGGGTGACACGTTCTCCGTGGGACAGTGGCCCTGGGAAGGAGAAGTCCTGGTGAACAGACCCTGCCAGACCCTGGGAGCTGGAGCTCCTCCACAGCCACATCCAGAAGGAACTCAGGAACACCCAGAGCCTCCTCTTCGGGATGTTTCTGGGGATGGACACCGGAACGAAGCCAAAGCATCGCCCCTTTCCTGGCTCAGCACCCTCATTTCTGGCCCAGCCTTAATCCTGGAAGCCTCCCAGGTCCCAAACCAGTGGCCTAAATCCCCTGAATCCCACCCTGGAGAAGCAGCTGGCACACGGGTGCCATCCCTGGAAGTGTCCAAGGCCAGGTTGGAGGGGGCTTGGAGCAACCTGGGATAATGGAAGGTGTCCCTGCCCATGGCAGGGGGTGGAACGAGATGACCTTCAAGGTCCCTTCCAAGACAAACCATTCCATGATTCCATGATTTATGGGATGGGCAAGTGTGGTTCCATCCCCCCAAAATGGAGTTATCATCTTTCCAGCCCGAGCTGGGCTCGAGGAGGGAGCAGAGGAGCCGAAATAACTGCAGCACATTCCTGGTTTCTCTGAGCCATCCCAGCTCCCCCCCAGGGTGGAGCAGCACAAGCAATTCCTTGGCTCCATCCAGAGTCAGACAGGCTTTCTAAGATTATTTTGTTCCTAAACAATGTGGCTGGATTTGATTGCAGCAGTGGGAGCAGCCACGGGTGACTTAAGCCTGGATGACAACGGAACCAAAAATTCAAACCTGAGGATGCTGCAGAGAGGGGTCGGGGTCAAACAAAAATGTCAAGGATTGGGGTCACCTTGCCAAGCCAAACGTTGTCAGGGAGAACTTGGATGGAATAACGTTCCCCAGCAAAGCTATTTACTCAGGGAGTGGAATAACAAGGCTTAGGGCTTAATAATTTTATAGGGTTGTTTTGGTTCCCTGTGTAGTGTTGAGGGAGGGGTTGGCCAGAGGAAAAGATGAAGTTATTGAAAAGACAAAGGGAAAAAAACAACAAAAAAAGGTGGAGTTCTGGGTTGGGAATTGCAGATGGGTGTTTAAGGGGATGGAGCCACCCAGCCTGGCCACCCCTGTCCCCCCAGCACTATCTCAGTGTGGTATTTAATCAGCTCCCATTATATTTAGCCTGCTATCAGATTCCAGGAATAACTGCAGATAAGGTGGTGGCACAATCCCAAATTCCCTCTCCTCACC